TACACCGTGAAAAGATGAAAAAACTTACTGACGTTTCGGACACTAGTCCTTCGTCGGAGTAAAAGATTGTGCAGTGTTCGTAGATAGCTTTCCAAACCCGTTTAGTTACATGTAAACCACTTTTAGACATGTTTAAGCCTTGGTGTGAGCGGGGTAATAGTCTCGAAACCGTTGCGTAAAGTATACAACTACACGTGATTCTCCCACAGGTAGCACAAGCTTGGTTTCTGTGGTGTCATGCCATAAGGAAATGTATGAGGATTCATCAAAAATTTCAATAAAATCATTGAAACGTGAAATAAAGCCTCGAAATTTTACCCGATCATTGAGAAATAGCACTTCTTTTGCTCTGTGTGGTTATTTTTTGAATTTAGCCCGTTTTAAGATTTTTTTCCCCACCAGTAAGAAATRAGAGAATGTTGGAAACTCRRGWYCCAAAAGCSARCCATCACGAGTCTTTGAAASCTCGTASGTCTTCGAATTTTCTTTCCAGCGCCAAATATTAGTCATAACCCTTCTCTCACATCCCTATAGAACCGAGAAAGTCGCATTAGAGATTAATCTTCGCGTCTTTAAGCCATGAAATTTGCCTGTATTGACATACTACCTCGCTTGTTCTGACCCGTACTTGGAGCTCTCACTGTACACCAATTCAACGAATTTCCTTCGGCAACCGACCCGAGGTCACGCCGGAAGTCTTCGTATTGTAAATGCGGATTTGGATATAGTCTTTCTTCGAAATTATGGTGAGTGTATTTTTKAACGGCCTAAGATACAAAAATGTTTAACTTATAATTTCGAAGAAAGACTATATCCAAATCCCTATTTACGATACGAAAACTTCCGGCGAGACAAAATTGCATGCAAAACCAGTTGCAACAAGGAACCGTCACCTGATTATAAATGGAACTACGGTAGGAAAAAATAATGTAACAGAAAACACAGAAAACGCAGGGTTTTTGCAGATGAAGTATCAAAGCATTTCCTTTTCTTTTACATATTTTCCTGTTTGCTTCATACTCAARATACCTTAAAAGGGCAACGCTAAAAACATAAACGTTCTTAAWACACAATTATTTTCTTCAATGGTTTGGCTACTTGTATAACAGCAATCATGAGATATCAAGGAATATAGTTTTGATTCTAATCTTATTTAAAAAGACACAAATTTGTTTGAAATCATTCAAATTGGATGTTTATAAGCATAATATTACATCATCATATACCAACCTTCAGAACACTGGTTAACTATAAACAGCACAAGCACGACCACCGTTACCATCCTCATATACGATGAACCTTGATTAGAACGCATATTATCGAACGAGAGCGTACTCAATGAAAATTATATTTTGAGGCTGAAAACTGTTTACGACAGATCCTTACGTTTCTGAATCGGTTTCTCTGAATCGAGCTGTGTCCACTGGACCAAAAACACATGTCACGATCGCTTGATTTGTCAACCATTGGACAGGTAGCCCTTCACTAGGAGAAGCATGGAAAAGTACTTTTGTTATGTGGGTAATTCTTGGACCAATATATGTTTTTTAAGACCTTTGGCAGTGCTTTAGCTTAAAGCATCTTAAAAGGTGCATTTTTTTTTTTTTTGTTTTTGTTTTTGTTTTTGTTTTTTTCAAAGACAAATTACAATTTTCAAAATATATCCGTTAAAAATGTCAAATGCTTGAACTGTTCTGCAACATTTTTGTGGTTGCCATAGCCCAAGAGGGCGAGAACACTATTTCTTTTAGTCAAATCCAACTATAGACGATCAAATTTATAGACGCAAACAAATTTTGAATTAAAGTTCAATTTAATGTTTTGGTTTTCAAAGCCGGCACTTTTCGCTACTACAGTAGCTAGGAACTAATCCAACCAGAACGAAGCATTGATGGTAGGCCACTAGTTGGATTTGACTAATTGAGGTTAGTATTTCTTTCATGTAATTCTGTTTCAAGTAAAATTAACACATACAAATACATCTACTTTCGCTTCTTAGCTATTTTAGAATTGGTCACATGTTTGGGGAGTTGTGGACCAAACGAGTCCCCAAACCCACCCCCAAAGGAACGGTCTGACTGGCTCAATGGACAGGGTCGTTTGTCCTGTGGTCGATCTGAATGTCTTCTTTTATAATTCCGGTGTTCTGGAAACGTAGGCATCATACCAGGATCCAGGGGTAAAGGTTTCTCAACGAAATAAGAGTTTTGCAGGGATTCTGCGGCAGTGGCTCTCTTACAAGGATCATACATTAGCATGTGGTTCAATAAGCTAAGCCCTGCCTTACTTAACCAGGAAAACTTGTGCTTTAGATTATTGTATGGCTGCACTTTGAACTGCACGTCCCTGGCCCCAGGTAAGCTAGAAAATCCAGGCCAAATCTGGTCACTTGGGGTGCCTAGTAGCTCAACAATTAATTCCATTTGATTGATTTCTGATTTCCCGGCAAAAAGAGGCTTGTTTCCCAGTAATTCACCAAATATGCAGCCAACAGCCCACATGTCCACAGCAGTTGTGTGGACTTTAGCTCCCAGTAGAAGCTCAGGTGCACGGTACCACAGGGTGACCACAAGAGGAGTCATTGGCTCATAGGGGTAGCCAAATGCTCTGGCCAGTCCAAAATCAGCTGTAATGCAATATTCATTAAAGATAAGAGATAAACAGTGGGTTTCATCATATATTTCTGGTGTCATAAAATATTTCTTCTATTGGGATTTTCCTGTGGCATTCATGGAAGACAATCATCTGTTGACTTGCCTGTTGGCTCCTACAAGAATGCCACAGCAACTTAGTTCTGCACATTTAGAATTTGGTATTTATAAAAAAGAATTTCTTAAATAAACTCCTTGCATGTGACGTCAAAGTAGCTCGATCTGGGGGACAAAACAAAAGAATTCAAATGTGTAGTTCCAGAAATCATCCATACCCACCCCACAGAGGAATTTGGAATTGCCGAAGAGTAGGGGGGTCAGACAAAGAACAAAACTTACAGAGTTTGTATGGAAGAAAATTGGAATTTCCTGGGGGTAGGGGGTGTCTTAAAAAAATTCCTCCATAAGGGGGGTATGGATAATTATTGGAACTACACAATCTCAAGAGAATTGGAACCTATTGTTTTGTCCCCCAGATCGAGCTGCAAGGGATCTATTGGTTGTAGACCCTTTTGTATTGGGCATAATGTTTCCCCACTTCAGACCATGTGTCAATCCCTAGGTATCATGACAAAACACATGATATGCATACACTTCAAACAAAGGATCATATTCTCAAAAGAATGGCCCATAGTCTGAAATGGAAAAACATTATGCCCAAGCTAAAAGGGCCTATTACACGTCATTTTTCTTCCTTTATTTATTATTTAACCTACCTATTTTTAGAATACCCTTTCCTGTTAGTAACAGATTGGACACTTTAAGATCTCTGTGTACTATGAAATGTTCATGAAGATACTGAGTGCCTTTTAACAGCTGTATCATGAGACACTTGATTTGAGTTTCTGAGAATGGAGTAGACATGTTGTCAAGCAGACTTGCTACATCCTGTAAAAAATGAAACTCTTGGTAATTACAATGCATTCCTAAAGAATAACATATTATATTTTTGCTCTTTTACTCCAACGAAGGACTAGCGTCCAAAACATCAGTAAGTTCTCTTAATCTTTTCCCGGCGTATCATTACTGTTAACATATTATATAACAAGTGTATTGTTGCAATGTAATGATTGTAGAGAGAATGTTACTGGTATTTTTGTTACAAAAGGTTAAGCTTCACTCTTCAACTTGTAGGATAACTTTGTCTTAGCACTGCATGAACTAGATGGCTGACATCGGGTTAGCTCAGTTGGTGAGAGTGTCAGTCTGTTGTGCTGGAGGTTGTGGATGAAGCCTAGGTTGGACTAATACTCAGGGGCTTAAAATGACTGAGAAGAAGGTGCTGCCTTCATAATTGTAATACATCTGCAAATGGTTAGGCCTTTACGTGGCTCAGATAACCACGTTAATGGGGGTCCCATCGCTAAATAACTAGAGACATTAAAAGAGGACCATGAGTTTATCAGTTTAATTACTGCCAAGTGTAATCTAAAAACAAAGTTGATAACCACTTGCACCAAAAAGCATTGCCAAGGTATAAGGTGTGATTCAAGGTATGTTTAAGAATACATTAATACATCAACTGCTTGCTACRCAGGCCCGAATTCCTTGCATAGCATTACTTCAATTGACATTAGCTTTTGGTATTCAAGCGCCAACCAGACACCATTGGCTGGGGTCTTGTGCGAATTTTTATTAGCTGAAGCGCAAGTTTTCAATAGAATTCTTTCTGGCTGAAAGCACATGTTGGTCAGTGTATGACCACCATTTGGATCAGATGTGATTCATAGACTTTTAACCCCAGATTGAAACCCAGCAATAGCACTAATAGTTTGGATGGCTACAATTAAAAAACTCACTTGTTCACAATATTCCATTGATAAAAATAAACTATCCAAATGTCTTCCTACGACAACTTCTTTAAGAAGAACAATGTTGTTGTGCCTCAAGTTCAACAACAAGCTTATTTCTCGTAAACTGCTGATAGGAATCCCATCTTTTTCATGCTCCATACGCACTTTTTTCAAAGCAACAATTTCATTAGATTTAGTGTCTCTGGCCCTGTAAACTATGCCATAAGTTCCTTCGCCAATTCTGTTGAGTTTTTCAAACTCTGTCACAGGACGACAAGAACCATAAACACAGCTCTCGGGAATACGCCGTTTTTCGCCACCTCTGAGGGAAGTTAGCAGGACTTCGTTCGTTTCTTTCTTTTCCATTATTTGTAAGAGAGCTAGATTTGCTTTTTACTTTAGAATGGCAGCAAAAATTATTGAATTTTGCATCAATGGAAAAATCAACATCGARTCTTTGTCCGCCATATTGGACGGGAGCCTGGGTACTTATAGAACGTGACCACAGGAAACCCACGCATAGCTTAAATCAAATCGAAAACAAAGCTTTATTTGCAATACAAGTTTGTTAGCTTCCCATTTATTTTTTCTTTTCTTTTCTCTTGTCTCCATTATTTAGTGAACGCTTTCAAAGAAAGACAATCTAACAAATACTGAAATGTTTGTCAATACTCAACTTTAATTTTAAAAAGTCTTCTATTTTCTTACAACCCAGTTAAAATTACCCTTTTCACCATAAGTTATGTACCTTGTGGACATTTAGTTAAATACCCTAGCTATATATGAATTATGATGATATTTAAGAATCAAGTAAGGTAGGTTGCACACAATAAACCTGGTRGAAGTACTTTTTGGTGTGCATGTGACGTCATATAGCAGCCATTTTGGTTGACTTTAAATAAAGATTGGTCTTTTGTCATGTTAACCAACATGGCGGCCACGTCTTTCGTCCTTTCATTCAGGCTCATGGCAAAGGATGCACGCCACCAATTAAACAATCAGTAAAGTTTAAAAAAAGGTTTGTATAATTCAGTACCTTTTTTAACAGATTTATTGTCTGCTGATTATAATGTGGAGTTGAGTGATGAATAGCAAATAGTTCTATATGTACTCCCTGCCAGTACGGCTGCATAGAGGAAGACTTCCGTCTTACATGGCAGATCTTTGTATGTGCTTCGTTGAATTAACTAACAGCACCCCCCGTCCCAAACTAGAACTGTTTGCCGCCAAATGATGACTGCAAAATCTTTCCCGCAGTCCCAGTGTTTTTCTTTTTCCTTCGTCCGTTTTCATTACTTTTACTAAGAAAACCATACATAATTTCCACTATAAAGGTTATTTCAGTGCGTGAAGATAGCGTAACCATAGAGATAACCGTCCTTGTTTTGGTGCGGAAAAGGAAGGACTTTTCCTTACGAGTTACGCAATCTTCATGAAACGGGATCCCAGTTATAYTATTTGTTAGGACGATGATTTTGTTTTATTTATCAGTTGAAGAGTGCGGTGAACCTAAATTTATTACATAACACTAACTATATTAATAATAAACTTGGAGTACGGTTATTTACAAGTTCAAATTAAGCAAAATATGTGCTATTGTTCTCCAAAAAGAATTAATTTTTTTTTGAGTAAAAATATATGAAGAATGATACGAAATCGAAAAAAATAGCTTATGACCTGTAGTGTCTGAGATGTACGATGTGTGGGTAGTCATGTTTAGCTTCACCTGCAAAGGAATTATCAAMAATATTTTTTAGTGATAATGCAAAAAATATTTTTATTTTTGATACTTCTCCCTGTGGAGGAGTAGTGATAAGAAAGTATTGCTTAAAAGGAAAAAAAGGGAAAGCGCGGGACAAAGACCATGCACGTTGGCTGAAAAAGCGCGGAAAGTTATTGACGCTCGTCGGCTAAAAAAGCGCGGAAAAATATTGACGCGCGTTGGCTAAAAAAGTGCGGGAAAATATTGACGCGCATTGGCTGGGAAAGCGCGAAAACCATTGACAAGAATGGCAATCAACTCTGCAAAAAAGTTTAAATGTTTGGCTCTTTTAAAAAGATATTTAATTAAATCATCTCTAATTCATGAACTATTAAAGTTTCTCTCCCTCTTGGGAATAGTTCTTTAAGCTACGTTATTGTAATTGCTCAAGAAAGATTCAGATAAGGAGACAACGAAAACYGAGGATAATAGGTAAGAGCTAAAAGATATATTCTTGAATATAAATTTGTAAAGCTTCTATAAAATCGATACTAAGACTAAAAATTATATATAAAAAGAGTAGCCGAGTATTTTGAAGAGGCTAGAAACATGTTTTCTAGCTCCGAATGCTGGCATGTGCTACGAGTGAAAGCCTAGAAAATTATAGCTCAGTTCTTCTCTCAAGGCTTTACAAAACATTAAGCTTATATACTTTTGTGTCATATCTAAAGAAAGCTCTCGTAGGATTATAAAACTTAAAATTTGCTTCTAGAAAAACCAAGACAAGGAGATATAAGGTCTTTATTTCACAACATTAGTATTGGCGATGGTTTTTCACAAGTATTTATGTAAATCCGAGAGACTAAATACAACACACGTTTTTGGGGTTGACGGGGGGAGAGGGGGATAGTGGTGGGGTAGGAAAAGGAAGGGGGTTGTTTTGCTTGATTGTCAGACATACTGAAACTTCTTCAAGTTTAGTACTTACCTATTAGTTCATTACATCCATAAACTTCCACTCGCATGCATACGGAATTTTGGGTGATGGGATAAAAGCGAACGTATCTAGCCACGTGCGGCTTACGTAACTGATTTATGACTGGCGTAAAATGATCACAGTTTCCTGTTAATATCTAAAAACAAAACAGAATAATTGAGCCATAATAAATTAATGGTTTTGTCTTGCTCTTGTAAAGTAAAGTTTTGTTCGGCAAAATGCTTTTTGTTTTAGAAAGATGTTAAATTATTGATCACAATGCTGGTTTTCAATCATTCCCAGGGGATTGAAATAACAAAAGACACGGCGGCCATGTTGGATGATATAACAAAAGACCTAGAATTCATTACATTTATCCAAGATGGCGGCTATGACGTCATGTGTGTGCTACTAGAACTGAAAATACTTCAAAGCTCTTTGGTCACGTGATATCTCAGCCTCCATACCTTAACTTTTTCCTTTTCCATGTATTTATAGAACGTTTTACCATCATCACTGAAACCCAATTCATATGACTTCACGTGTTCGAAGAATTTATCTCGGCCTGATAAAAGAACGCAACAATGATRTCAGGTAAAAAAAATTTTTAATTTCATTATCATTTAGTTAATATTCATAATATCTATTAAAACTGCTTTCATTTCGAGTGCGTGGCCGGTAAACAAAAGAACCGTTAATCTAAGTAACGAAAACTGGTCGCTCTCTCTTCTTTTTCTATCCTGGTCTCTCTCTCTCTCTCTCTCTCTCTCTCTCTCTCTCTCTCTCTCTCAATCTTTCTCTCTTTCCCTGCCTCTGTTGACAAAAAATCGCAATGCATGGCGACAATCGTTGTGCTGGTCTTGAATCATAGCTACTAGACCCATACTCACCCTGTGTTGCTACGGAAGTAATTATTCGTGGTTTCCCTAAGTCCACCTGTAGCCATTGGTTTTCAGTTTTATTGGCACACCATCCTCCTACTTTCTTATATACCAAGTCATCCTCTTTATAAAGACGAGCGTTATGGGGACCGAAATCCCATTTACCTAAGAAATACAGTCAACAAAATATATTAGTATAATTTTAGACTTGAATACAGAGTTTTTTCAGTGATTCTGAGACGATATTCCCTGCTCGAGCGGTGATTATAAGGTTTCCCAAAGTTTGTCAGGGCGGAAGTAATACTAAAACGCTTTTTTTTTTTTCTTTTTTTTTTT